CCCCTCTTTTTCTTTCTCTCGCTTTCTGTCTCACCCTCTCCCCCCCTCTCTTATCTCTTTCTGTGTCTCTCTCTCTTTCTGCTACTACAGATCACGGCAAGACAACTTTGGTAGACGCCATGCTTCAGCAAAGCTCCGTCTTCCGGGACAACGAGCAAGTGAGCCCCCCCCCCTCCCCCGCCCCACGAAACCAGCATTGTCTCATTATCTCTTCGTCACGGCATTGTAGGGATGCGATGTCAAAGGTCGAACGACTACGCCATGCGTTTACATTAGTACCCCCCCCATGTGATTGTACCTAAGCTAGAGTATGCAGGAGAGGTATGGGAAGGTAACGAAAAGGCCGTCAAGCAGCTGGAAACGGTGCAGATGGCAGCGGCCAAGAAAATACTAGGATGTTCAAGTGCAACGAGCAACACTGTATTGAGAGCAGAATTGGGAATGTACTCTCTTAAAACAAAGAGAGACATGCAGAAGTTGAATTGGCAGTACAAGGTAAGTAGAATGTCGGACGATAGACTACCAGCCATGGTTGACAAGGCAGTTTGGGGAAAAGCGACTCCAGGGAAGAAGGGAATCAGATGGGACAAGGTGGTAGAGAAGGTTTGGAAGGAGATAGGAGACGAGGAGGAGACGTTGGACACGGAAGGGTTCGGGGTGTTCAAGACGAAAGTCAAGGAGATGCTAGAAAGTAGGGAGAAGGCAACCCTTCGGAAGAAGGTACGAAGCGAAGACCACTTGGAGATATACGGGAAGTTGAAAGAAGGGATAGGGATGAAGACGTACTTGGACGGCCCCATGGACTACGCGAAAAAGCTGAAATTGCAATTTCGAGTAGGCGACCTGGACTTGCCAGAACGGAGGAAGAGGTATACCAGCCGTAGGAGAGAGGAAGAGGAGGATAGACACACATGTCCATGTGGCAAATCGGAGGAGAGTAGACCCCACATAGTCGGGGAGTGTGAGTTGTACAGGAAGGAAAGAGAGGATCTCGAGGAGGAAATGAGACAAAGAGGGTGTGACATGGACAAGTTTGGTAAATTAGACAACAGCGAAAAAACGATCGCGATAATTGGGGATAGATGGTGGGCACAAGAGGCCCTAGAGGCCGGGGATAAGATGTGCAAGAAATTTTTATGGAGTTTGTGGCAGAAACGTAAAGAGCTCCCAAATGTTGGTGGTGTCTCTAGTAGGGGTAGGAACGGTGCTCCGTCTCGAAAGGGACGCGTGGTCAATGGTCAAATGACTACGGCAAGCAACAAATGAGTACGCCCCCCCCCCTCCCTATAAATAGAAAGAAAAACTCTGGGCGCTCCTGTGTCTCGTGGGAGGTCTCGGTGAATCAGAATGTCCGGGCGTTCGTCAAGGCGTTGTTAATTTTTGTTGCTGTTGTTGTTGACGAAAGACGCGCGTTGTCGACTTGACAAACAAACCCCTTCCGATTTCTGATCAGTATCTACCTTCTGACAATCCGTACAATACTGGATCTACTTGACTCTGGACGCCTTCCCTTCCCGAATGTGAAGCATACCGGTACGGTACGGTACGTTGCGTAAGACATCACATACCCTGGAGCGATTTTCAAAGCTTCATTATTCCACGACGAAGAGGGTGCTGAAATCAAACGATACGTTGTCGGAAAGCTCTCGACAAGACGGTTCCAACGCCGCCATTTTGGGCGCCGTCACTGCTTCTCCTGCCGAGTAATCGAGCTTAGAAAATCGGGCCAGGGGGTGTGATATCTTATGCAACCTACGGTATGTATCTATTGGACCCAGAGGGTGCGAGTTGACGTCTGTAACGGCCGTTTAAGAGAAGCTCTTGTCGAGGGCGAGTAGGTATGGTTCCGGGGGTGGGTTTTGGAAAACTCCTTGCCTGCCGCATTGCGGTTTCTCATGCCTCTGCTCTCGCGTTCCTACAGCAGTTGCGGTGAGGAGGTGGTTGTTTGCCATGTGGGGAAGGGACGCGTGTCGTGTTGGTCGTAGGTGAGCTGTTTAGCTGCCGCGCTTTCTCTCACCGATTCAACCCCCCGACATGAGTCCGACTGCCGCCGTTGGTGGTTGTTGCCGTGTGGGGCGGGCTTGTTGGTTGATCGTAGAGTAGCTCTCTGCCGCGCTTTCTCTCGCCGATCACCGCCCCGAGGGACATGAATCCCATGGCTTTGCGTGGCACGTCATCAGTGTTGTTTTTCCCCCTTCTCGTGCCCGTCGACTGTTGGCGTGGTGTGACCTCTGTGCAGATGGGCATCAGAGTGATCAATGTTGTCATTCATCTCTCTTGCCCGTGACCACCGTTGGCGTGGAGTGACCTGTGTGCAGATGGGCATCAGTGTGATCAATGTTGTTTTTCCCCCTCTCTCTTGCCCGTGACTACTGCTGTTGTTGCGCGTGACCTGTGTGCAGATGGGCATCAGAGTGATGGATAGCAACGACCAGGAGCGCGAGCGTGGAATCACCATCTTGGCGAAGGTGCGGCGGAGTTCGGCGTATTCCAGCCTTGGCACGTTTTTTTTCTA